GGAGGTTAGGTTTGATGTGTAGAACGCCTGACTGCACCTCAAATACACAATCCAAGACAGTTATATTTTAATTCTAAGATAGACTATAGATTCTAAGATAAGATATTTCTATTTTATCCGAAGATTTGATCCTTAAGATAAAGTAGATAATATTTGTTGTTTTTTTTATTTTATTTATATACATACATTATTTTCATATCTCAGTCAGACAGAGATGCCTGGTATGAGAGATTATGAAAAACAGTAGTTCAAAATGATTTGTGCTGATGAATTGCACTTTTAGGTGAAATAAGCCTAAAGTCGAACTAATGTTACTGGTGCTATTTGGAGGTTAGTTCTCAACCGTTGACAGTATCAAAAATATAAATAAACATTTAATGGACCTCTGACAGTTTTGTCATTGTTGGTCCCAATATCAAGAAAACATGGTTAAACAAAATAAAATAGTTACACCTAAATCTGCAACGTAATCTTATAAATATTTTAGAATTTACCTGAAATTTTTCGCATTCACTCTTACGTACATTACCATAACTTCTCTTGATACAATACTCAAGATCTTTTTCCTGTACCATCACTTTCTTCTCAACCACATTTGGATATCCTGGATATCCATTAAGATTTTGGTCGCCTTTCCCATCAGTATACAACTTGTTCTTCTCCTCAACCTCTCCTGAAACTTGTAATAGTAAATAAAACATCTCTTAAATTTATATTTAAATCGTGTACCTTCGGTAAGAATCTGAAGAAGCGACTCCGATGACTCCGGTTCGGTAGAATGCATTTTTAGAAGGGCCAATTCGATTTCATCCGTTACTTCTTTTTGCAGGAAACTTCCTGGAATCCCACCAGGTTTTATAGAGTTGCTCATCGTGGACCAAATTTATTTCTGTAATAATTGAATTAAATATTTTTATTTTTGTATGTATGGCGATAGAGTTTTCTGATTTTAATAAACATCCAAAACTAGTGGCGCATGGCATCGTGTTTTAAGGCAAATTTGAATAAAGATGCAATTTTCTTTTAGAACTATGAAAAAATCGATTTTTGAAATTGTTTAAATTTTTTAAAATGGAAATTGAAAAAATGGACCTTTTTGAAAAATTTGTTCCTTTTTTCAAAGTAATCCCTCATACATTAGCAGCGTAGAAACGAAATATCGAAGCGCGTGTGCGCCGCGTCGCAGTCTAATGGATAAACATTGGTACGGAACCCATAGAAAAGTGAACAAAATTTTTTTATTATTAAAATATCTATAAAATATGTGATAATTTGATGTGCATATATCTAATCATCTTTTATGGCCACCAAATGGCATTTTTTTCACTTTTTTAGTAGTACTCTGAAACCGCCAGACCTGCTTTTTCAAAAATTTCACCAGTTCTTGAAAATAACATAATAGTTTTTTGAATTATTAAAATCAGACGCTCCGTTTTTCTTAATACAATGAATTACTATTCTTGGCACTTTTTGCGGCTCGACCTGCCTTTGCCAAAAACTAATCAGCGCGTCAAGCTTGCCTTAAGGCACTTTGATTTATTAACTTCCCTTAGGGTAAGTTATAGTAATCGCAAAAAAATCGAAAATGAAATTTTTTGCATATCTTTACGTTTCAAAGGTTTCTGAACACTTTGGCACACCTTAGAAAAAATGAATGTATGTGTGTGTGTTTGTGCCGATACAAATTTTCGTCGGCGATTTCGGGAACAAGGTTCAACCGATTTCAATTATTCGAAAAAAAATTCGATTCCTATTGATAAGGAGACATGCTGATTAGTTTTAGGCAAAGGCAGGTCTAGCCGTTACGGAGATACGAAGCAAAAAGTGCTAAAAACGGTAAATCAGTTTTCAAGAGAAACGGAGCGTTTGATTTGAATTCAAAAAACATTTTACTTGTATTGATAAGATGAAAAACTGTTTAACTTTTTGGGAAGGCAGGTCTAGCGGGTTCGGAGATCTAGTAAAAAAAAAAAAAAAAAAAAGCATTTTGGCGGTCAAAAATGATCATTAGACATACGCACATCATATCAGATATTTTATGGAGATTTTAATAATACATATAAATTTTTATATTTCTACGGTTTCCGTAACATCGTTTCTCCGTTAGACGGCGACGCGGCGCTTACGCGCTTCAGTATTTCGTCTCTATGCTGCTAAAGCAGCGCGATTGCTTTGAAAAAAAAGTTCGAAATTTCCAAAATATTTCAAAATAAATAATACATTTATTTCCAAAAAAGTCAATTTCTTTTCAAAAGTCTTAAATTTCTCAAAAAAGAATATATAATAGAGAAATATTTTCTAGAAAAATCAAAATTTTTCAAAGCTAAAAAAAATTGATTTAAAAAAAATGGATGTGAAAATTGGTATAGGAGTTCCAGCAATTTATCTTAAACCACGATGCCATACACCACTAGTTTATATTTTTATTAAGGCGTTTTTACTATCAGATAAAATTGTTAAACAAATGACAATTATATTATTGCATATTAATTATATAAATATATAAATATATAATATATATTATTACCTGATCAGCACAATGTCGAACAATCTAAATCACTTTGAATTAATAAATCACTAATAGAAATAATAACTTTATTTCGGAAATACTGAATACTCAATGCAAAAATCGTAAAACAATCTTTCTAAGATATTCATTTGTTGAAAAATGTTTTGATCTTCATTTGTTAATTAATCGATTAAATAAATTTTAAATCATGAAGGCTGTACTAAGATTATCGTTCATCTTTTATTTTAAAATATAGACTAGGTGCAAGTGGCATTTTACCCTAAAGCAAGTTACATGACTTCCCGAAGCTTAGAAAAAATTCTCATATTTTTTTCGATTCATCTATTTATTCGGTTATATAATTTTTACGTATACTTTGCACTTGTATTTAAATTACTCATAAAACGATAACAAGAATTTATGTTATCATAAATAACATATAGATAAAAATTCATATCTAAATTATTAAGAATATATATTATCAGTCAACAGTAACAAATAAAATCAATTAGTACTTCATAATATCAATCACCTTTATTTTATAAAATTAATCACTTTTATTCTTCAAAGTTTATTACAACAATTTAATTTTATTAAGTTAGTAAGTGTAAACTAACTGTGGAAATAAATAGCAAATGACAAATTGTGAGTTTAATAATGGAATAACATTATATAATACTTAAATGAGGTAATATTATATAATATAATTAAATATGTTATTCTTGAAGTAATTTTTATTCTATTACTATAGACGGATTTTATTAAAATATTTATTACTTAAGTTTGTTTTGAACCTATTATCGTTATTAATGTTAATATTCTAATGTAATGTTAATGAATCCTCTTAAATATTTAAAAAAATCGTTTTTTTTAAAATAAATAGCAATAAGTATAAGTTTGATAATACAAAATCCATACCTACTTAAATAAAAAAATAATGAAACTAAAATTACATTTTTATTATATTTATTTTTCAGCTTCTTGTTATTAACAATAAAAAATATATTGTTTTTAATATAAATAAATAATAAACTAGAAGTTAAATAATACAGTTATGTTACTTAGTCACGTGATCAACAAAATAAATTTACAATGTACTAAGTTCTTTTAGAAAATTCCTATTTGTTGCATTTAATAAACAATGTGATGAAAATTATTTTAATAATTATTAATAATAACTTTATACTATTTTTTACGCTCCCAATTGTATTATTGATAATGTTTCAAATAGTTCAAAAATTTCTAATTCATATCCTTTATTTTTTAAAAAAGAAATAGAATTTTTTTTAAAAAAAATAGCATTTTTTAAAATTTCTTAATTTTTTTAAAAATAATAGAAAAAGATTCAGCAAATTTTCTAAGGTGACAATTTCTAAAAATATTGTTTTTAGATGATGCATTTCTATGTTTTCAAATAAAATTTACAACTCCTAATGATGTTGTTCACAAGATAAATTTTAACGATTGTAACTGATGTTATATTGGCGAAAGTTCACAATATATTTACAAAAGAATATTTGTAATTCAAAAAATCCTAATCAATACAAAACTTTGTTTTCGGAACATATTATTAGTTCAAATCAGGGCTTCTTAAACTATGGGTCGCGACTCCAAATGGAGTCGCGTGGAAAATTTTGAGGTCGCGAGGATTTTAATGACAAATATTTATTCATTTTTTTATAACATTATGTCTTGGTTTTTGTATGTTCTCAATAAATTCTTAACCTGTATATTTTTATATGTGTATGTATATTTTTACAAAATAAATAAATCTTTTAAAAATATTAATTTAATTTTTTATATGTGTGGGGTCGCCAAGAAACTCGCAATCGTAAATGGGGTCGCGAAGGACAAAAGTTTAAGAATCCCTGGTTTAATTCATACCTAATTCTAAAAATACTAAAATGCCATTATAAATAAATTAATTAATTATTATTATTATAAGTAAATTAGCTGAATGTACTGTATGTATAGCTTGCTAAGTACAATAAAAACAAAACAAAATGGATATAAAGAAAAAAATGTGGCCTTAGTATATATGTTGAATCTTTTTCTTTTATTTTTAAACGCTCTTTCTGTAAATAAAGGTAATTATGCCCTTTCAGTACCTGATAGTTATCATAATATTATCAATTATTTTTACAAAATAACATCTAAATTCTACTTGTGAACTTCTATGTAATTTCTTTCCAATATTTGTTAACTTTTTCAATCTATTGTTCATAGACATTACATCACATGAACTGCTCCGCGATTGTCGTCGGCAATGTTCGCTCAGACATATGACGTCACATACCCTTCTATGCATTACTTATATTTAATATTTTATATTTTTATACTTTGTTTCACATTCGTTTGTTTTTTTATTAATTATTACTTTTCTCTTACAGAAGGGTCAGACCCCAACACAAATTGCACTAAGGAGATTTTTCAAAAGAAACACATTTGAACGAACGATTGTCTTTTAAACAGCAAGTTTCGAATAAGAAGGCCCCATCATGGTGGCACAGAGCCCATAGCCTCTACTATTAAGGAGGTCAGGATTTTGGAGAGCGCCGAAGACATCCAGGAAAGAAGAGAACATAAAAATAAAATATATTTAAAAAAATAACTACATTATTTAATCAGTGGGAAGTTACTGGAAATGATTACAAATTTAGCCCTCTACTTTAAAATAGTATTTTTAAAAATACCATTCCATATTTATTTATTTATCTTTTATTCTCAGGTGCTGAGTCGTTATGGTGAGTTCAAGAAGGAAGCTCGTAACAAGCGTGAGAAATTGGAGGATTCTCGAAGATTCCAATATTTCAAAGAGAGACTCCGATGAACTGGAAAGCTGGATTCACGAAAAACTGCAGGCTGCTTCCGATGAAAGCTACAAAGATCCCACCAATTTGCAGGTATATACACGAAGAGAAAGTTTAAATGTAATGTTGAAATTCTTACTATAATGTTCCTTCGTTATTATTATTAGGCTAAGATCCAGAAACACCAGGCTTTCGAGGCTGAAGTAGCTGCTCACAGCAATGCTATTGTTGTCCTGGACAACACTGGTACTGAAATGATCAGCCAGGGACATTTTGCTTCTGATACTATTCGTAACAGACTAGGTAATAATAATAAAATAAATTAGACTTTGGTAATAATATATATATATATATATATATATATATATATTACATATATATATATATATATATACATATATTTGAATAGTCTTGAATTTGATGTTGATATATATGTTTAATCATAACGCGTAACATCAATAAAAATAGTATGAGAGTTTTTTTAAAAGTTTATTTATTTAAAATCCATACGTTTCGGCTAGCATCTTAGCCATCATTCAGTGGTAATCAAATTAACTATAAAAAATTGAAACTAAATAATTTATATGAACGGAAATTTCATGGAAAAACAATAATAATAATAATAGTAATAAAACACTTACAAATTTGTATCCTAATATAGCATATGAAACGATTATTAATCCATGGTATGAGTATGTGCACATTGATGAGATATATATATTTTAACACAAACATCACAAATGGTAAAACACACTAATAACCATGATAACTTAACAAGTTGTCGAAACTATTTACTCTTCGGAGTTTAGGATAGAAATGTCACATTTTTCTCAAAGCAGTTTTTAGCATGTGTTTTAGCATGTGTAGCATATATTTTTGGAAAATTTAAAAAGTGATGGGATTTTGTTATTTTTTAAGAAATTTTGTCACGCTATAAGAAACCACGTGTTCGTTTCGTTCAGGGCCGTATTGTCGAAGCGTTTGTTAATGACCCTGTCGTTATATAATTGCAAATATATATATATATATATATATATATATATATATACACACCTTTCAACATCTGTTACAATATCAAGTTGTGGTTTTACTTGTTATTGATATATTTTATTTTTATTTGATAGATGAATTACATCGCTTGTGGGAATTGTTGGCTGAGAAGGGAATGAAATTGCAACAGGCTTTGGTTCTTGTTCAATTCTTGAGACATTGTGGAGAGGTTTGTATAAATTATATTTGATACAATAATAAATAGTAGTTTGCCCGAAGGCAAAGAGTTCATGGCCCATAAATCAATGAATCTCTTTCCCTCCCTTATTTATTATTTCCATTACTATTATTCACTTTTTATGCACTTGATGCATTTTCCTTTCCAAAGAGCATTTACATTTTGAAGAAAATTTATACAAAAGACGCATCTGTGAAGAATATTTTATAACCATAACAACAAAGTAATGAAAAATTGTATATGTACAATATAAAATTCTTCTTTTCTTAGGTTTTGTTCTGGGTTCATGACAAAGAAGCCTTCGTTACAGCTGAAGAATTCGGTTCAGATTTGGAACACGTCGAAGTTTTGCAAAGAAAATTCGATGAATTCCAAAAGGACATGGCATCTCAAGAATATCGTTTTGCTGAAGTAAACGATATGGCTGATAGACTCGTTTTGGAAGGACATCCCGAGAGAGACACCATTTTGAAGAAGAAAGAAGTAAGTTGAATAGATATATAATAATATTGAAACTTTACCGTAATCAATAAACTTTTTCACTATTTATTATTTGTTGTTCTTTAGGAGTTGAATGAAGCCTGGCAACGTCTTAAACAGCTGGCTCTGATGCGACAAGAGAAGCTCTTCGGGGCTCATGAGATCCAACGCTTTAACAGAGATGCTGATGAGACCGTAGCCTGGATTTCAGAGAAGGATGTTGTTTTATCTTCAGATGATTATGGAAAGGACTTGGCCAGCGTGCAGACTCTGCAAAGAAAACACGAGGGAGTTGAGAGAGATTTGGCAGCTTTGGAAGATAAGGTTTCTACTTTGGGTATGTTGAATTTTGAAATATTTTTTATCGCAAAACATGGTTTGCCAGGTCAGCTAGTATATATATATATATATATATATATATATATATATACTAGCAAACCCGACGAATTCCGTTTCGCCACCAGATGGTTTCGTGAGAAAGATGAAGAAATTTTTTGTTTGTTTTATATTTGAAAAGGAAAAATTAGATTTTATTACATAACAGTAATGAATTTATTTCGATTACAAAAATGAAGTGTTTTCTAGTTGAACTTCTCTAAGTAAATGAAAGTGAATCCGCCAATTATCCGTTTTATTGAAGTGCTCTTTGGTAAACCACATTTTTTGTTTTTTGGTCTGACGTTAACACAAACAAAGCGGATGGTTTTCCAACTCGTGAACAGGCGACGTATAACTGCCCATGTGAAAAACAATGATTTTCTAAATAATCTATTTGAAATTTATCCCGCAAACACTAAACGATTGGCATTGAGACTTGTTATTACGAACGCTAGGCGAACTGGAAATTGCTATTCTTTGAAGTCAAACGGAAGACCAGTCGGAATCATTGGTATGTCACCAAATCGCCAGCAATTTTTGATTGAGTGGTGAAATTCAATGCGTTGACTTGACCAAGCATAATTCTGATAATTCTCACTAATGTCATTACTCGAATTTTTAATTACGGTGCGTGAAGTTCCAGCAATTTTCATTAGGGCACGATGCCATGCACCGCTAATTTTCTTAGCTATAAACCTTGCGGAGCGCGAGGCCTTTCAAACGAATGCAAAATTGTCGAAATCGGTTCGTGCGTTCTGGAGTTATTTTGTCAGGAAGGAAAACTCGACTTATTTTTATATATATAGAAGATATATATTACTAGTTTGTATTTTTTTCCTCAGGTGATGAAGCCCAACGTCTCTGCTCAATCCATGCTGATCACAGCGAGCAAACCAAATCCAAGCAGAAGGAAATCGAGGATTACTGGCAGAGTCTCACTGCCAAGGCAAAGGAACGTAAGAAGAAGTTGGACGAGTCTTATTTCTTGCACAGATTCTTGGCTGATTTCAGAGACTTGATTTCCTGGATTAATGGTATGCGTGCTGTTATTTTGGCCGATGAGCTAGCTAAGGACGTTGCTGGAGCTGAAGCTTTGTTAGAACGTCACCAGGAACATAAGGTAAGAGATTCAAGTTACCAAAGTATTAGAATCCTTGATTTAGTATTTATTATACAGTAGAATCCGATTAGTATGACGCCGGATATATTGACAACCGCTTAATATGACGTAATCGCACTAGGAATATGGTTTCCATATAAAATTCCTTAAAAAACAGCTTTCTAGTCGGATATATTGACCTCGCTTACATTGACATGTCGCTTATAATGACCCATTTTTTGCAAAAAAATATGTCCAATTATAATGACCGACATGATTTTACATGATGTGGCCAAGTCTACGAAAGCAATTGCTATGTCTTTTGTGCACAGTAGTACCAGGGGCTGTTTTTACAATAAAATTATGCAAAGGAATCAATCAAAAATTACTGATTACTTACATTAAAAAAACACATTTGTATGTTTATGGGTAGGGTAGACTAATTATTAATGGCCCACCACGGATATCTCATAAACAAATAAAATAAGATTTTTTTTAACAATTATATTTGATAGTAGAGGGCGAAAAATGTATAAATTCATAACCAGCCATCACCTTTATTCTTATGACTTTGCTATTAGAAGATAAGCGGCACATAACTGCGATAAAAAGGACCAGTTAACCTTTATTTTGGCAAAGGTGTAAGCAATAAAATAGTAAAGTTTAAAAAAAGCAATTTTACAAGAGATTAATTGAATAAATTGTTATTCCGGCTCTTCTGATGAATATTTCTGACCAATAGCAGATCAATGTAATATACTGTGTTGTCTTTGTAACAAATGTACCCTCAGAATTAATACTTTGCATTGGTTCTATAATGTAGCGTAAAATCCTTTAAAATTTAATAGAAGAAATTGCATCTGTTCGTCCCCTGGTTGTTCTTCTTTACCTCGTATGTGAAGTAAAATGGGTCAGATACCAAATGTTTAAAAAATAGTAAAAAATATAATATTTATATAATTAGGAATTATGTACGTATGTATGTAAGTTTTTCTGAACATAGTTCGATAGATGCTTCTTTGATGTATGTTATGTGTTGTTCATTGGGTTTAGACAGTATAATTATCGTAAGTCAAATTTGACCGTTGTGCCCCCGCCCTGTCCTATGTCAATTTTATTTTATATTAAATTTTAATGTCATTTTTATTTTTAATTAAAACGTTTGTATAGGCTTTTCTTTTAAATTACTGAAACATGTAACATATTTGCATATTAAAAAGTTTTTCTTCAGTACGCTTTTAATGACGACCGGTTAGTATGACGAGATTTCGGCGTCCCTTTGATGTCATACTAAGCGGATTCTACTGTATATGTCATTTTCTTTTTTAGGGTGAAATTGATGCCCGTGAAGACAGTTTCCGTAGCACTTTAGATGCCGGTTCCAAACTTTTAGATCGCGAACATTATGCCTCAGGTGAAGTCCAAGAAAAATTAGGAGCCCTAACCGATGCCAAGGCTTCTCTTCTGGCTTTGTGGGAAGAACGCAGAGTTTTATATGAGCAATGTATGGATTTGCAACTGTTCTATCGTGATACAGAACAGGCTGACACCTGGATGGCTAAACAAGAAGCATTCTTGGCTAACGAGGACTTGGGAGATTCATTGGATTCGGTAAGATAATAGACTCTAATTAAAATTATAGTTTTTTTCTCATTTGTTAATGCACGATGCCATGCACCACTAGTTATACTTTTTTTCCCATTTATTTCAATTTCATTCATCTACCTTCAGGTGGAAGCATTAATCAAGAAGCACGAAGACTTTGAAAAGAGTCTTGCGGCACAAGAAGAGAAAATCAAAGCCCTTGATGAGTTTGCCAGCAAATTGATTGAAGGAGAACATTATTCAGCTGAAGATGTAGCCGATAGAAGAAAGATGCTGTTGGCAAGAAGATCGGCTCTTCTGGAGAAATCTGCACATCGTCGTGGACTACTTGAAGATTCATTCAGGCTGCAACAATTTGAAAGGGATTGCGACGAGACTAAGGGATGGATTAATGAGAAAATCAAGGTAAAGATAATATATTTTTTATATCTCCATATTTCAAAAGCATACAATAATTGGTTATAAACATGGATTTTTTTGTTTTTAGTTTGCAACTGATGACAGCTATTTAGATCCAACCAATATCAATGGCAAAGTCCAAAAACACCAAAACTTCGAACAAGAACTAAACGCCAACAAGTCTCGTATGGAAGACATCACGAATACTGGACACAGCTTAATAGAAGCAAACCATTATGCAGCTCCTCAAATCGAAGCCAGGATGAGTGAAATTGCAGGATTGTGGGAAGCTCTGGTTAATGCCACTGATAAGAAAGGTAAGCTGGTTATAGAAATACTAGATAGAACTAGTTGGTTTGGTATTTAGCCTTGAGGCAAGTTACATGAACTTCCCGATATGTGTAAATAATCGACTTAATCAAAAAAAAAAAATGTAAATAATATACTTCATCAATCCTACTTAAAAAAAAACGATAATAATTTTAGCGAAGTTTGACGAATTTTTAAAATTAAACTACTTGTCGTAAGGCCGTAATATTACAGTAAGTTCTATAAGACCATGATGTATATCGCCAAAAAAAGTTCCATGAAAATCGGCTTAAATTTTTTTTTCAACAATTAATTACAAGAAAACGGCTCGGTAGATTTTCACCTAAAACTAATCAGTATTATTCCCAACTAATATCTTTCGAACAGTTTTTGATTTTTTAAAATCGGTTCGGTAGAATGAGCTTAAATGTGGACGAATTTTTTTTTTTTTTTTTTTATTAACTCTTTTATTTACAACTGTCCAGTATAGGACATTCAGTAAATTTAATGGATTTACAATAGTCCGCCGAAAAGGTACATTGTATACTACTTTGACTTGTTGGAAAAAACAACTCAGTAGTTGTTTTTTCGATATAAAATTTACAATATTTACTTATTAATAATTTCTTATAAATAATGATTAAGTTAATTCCATTTTTTTCTCAGGAGAGTTGATTGCACTTTTTTTCTTTTTTCAAATTGCAAAGAAACGGCTTAGCAGATCGTCACACAAAACTGACAAACCTCAGATAGTCCTCACCGAAATACATCAAATAGCTTTTAAATTTCTAAAATCGGCTCAGGCGTTTTTGAGAAAACGTCGATCAAAGGTCTAACTTTGACAAATGCCAAAAAAACAATACCAATTTTTGCAAACTTTAACGAATTTTTAAAGCTGAACCAGTTGTCGTAGGGCCGTAATATTTTAGTATAATATAGAAGACTATGGTATCTACCGTCAAAAAAATAATCATAAAAATCGTCGAATTTTTTTTTTTAAAAACTTTATTACAAGAAAACGGCCCGGCCGATCTCTACCAAAAACTAATCAGCACGATTCCCAACCAATATCTTTCGAACGATTTTTGAATTTTCAAAATTGATTCATAACTGCGGGCTAAAACGTGGACGAAAGACTTTTCACTTCTCTGCTATTTACGAAGAATCGGTTTGGTCGATCGTCGCACAAAACTGACAAACAATAGTCCTCATCGTGATACATCGAATGGCTTTTAAATTTTTGAAATCGGTCCAGCCGTTTTTGAGAAAACGGCGATTTACGGCAAAAAATCTGTTGGTGCACACGCACACACACACACACACACACATACTTTTTCTAAATTTGGTCTCATTCGATTCAGAATGGCTTGAAACGTCGAGAAAACATAAAATTAGCGAATCGGATTTTTTGATGAAAACATAAACTTCTTCGGGAAGTTAAATAATATTTTTCAAGGATTATAACATTTTGGTTTCTTTTAGGATGTAAATTGCAAGAGGCTTCTCAACAACAACAATTCAACCGTACAATTGAAGATGTCGAGCTCTGGTTGTCCGAAATCGAAGGCCAACTGTTGTCTGAAGACTACGGCAAAGATTTGACCAGTGTGCAGAACCTGCAGAAGAAACACGCTTTGCTTGAGGCTGATGTAGGAGCCCATAATGACAGAATTGATGGTAATTACATAAGATTCACTTAACAAATATGTCAAAGTTTCACAACATTGATTCATTTATTTTTTCTCTAGGAATCAAGTTATCAGCTGGTCAATTCGTCGAAGGTGGTCACTTCGACGCAGACAACATTCGCGCAAAAGAAGTGGCCCTGGCTGAAAGATACCAGGCCCTGCATGCACCCATGGCTCAACGCAAAAAGCGTCTCCTGGACAGCTTGCAGGCTCAACAATTGTTTAGAGATTTAGATGATGAAGCTGCTTGGATCAGAGAAAAGGAACCAGTTGCTGCATCTACTAACCGAGGACGAGACTTGATCGGTGTGCAGAATTTGATGAAGAAACATCAAGCTGTTTTGGCTGAAATTAATAATCACGAAGGTAGGAATAATTGTTTAAATATCATTTAAATAAATAACGTGAAATAATTCTTATAAATTGTTCCTGGTTAATTAAAAGAGAAAATACTAAAAGTACTTTTCTTTTTTTAACATCCCATAGGATAGAATAAGTTTGTCGCCCAATTTAATAAATTTACAGTATGAATTTGCCTTAAGGCATGATCTGCCCGGTTTTTAACAGTTTAATTTTAACGGTTTTAACAGTTTATCATTGAAATTATATAAATATTTACATTTTTTTTAAATAGTTTTTAATTATTCTGAATTTAGTACACAAAAAATGGATATAATATAGAAGCGTATAAAGATTTTAATTTTATTTAGAAAATCCAGGCGATTCGCGGGTTGAGTATAATTAATTTTTTTTTAAATTTTCAATTATTTTTAACGTATGTGTAATATTAATATTTGGGTTTTAAAAAATTTTGCTTATTTATTGTGCGATTTATTCTGTTGAGCAAATCATGCCAAGAGAGCTAAAAAAACTAGCTTTTTATTTTCAATCATAACACTCGTACTTCGTGTTGGATTTTTTAAATTTTAATTAAATTTAATTTTTCATCATTTACAATTACCAAAATTGCGTCGTAAACTTCTCCTTATTGATATCGTAAGGGCCGAATTGTATTCATATGAATACAGTCCGGCATCCTTGCATTCCTGTCATATTCAGAGAATCAAATTGTTGTTTTAAAGTTAAATTTTTAACGTATTTTAGAAGTATTGTCCAAAAACCAGTAAAAAAATGTAAAGAAATTACACATTTCCTGAACTATATTGAAAAAAAATTAATTATGTTTGATATGTATTATTTCTGCATAGATAATAATTACGAAAATTTTCGTTCCAAAGTAAATTTTGCTTTCATTTTTCATATTTGTTCCATTTCCATAACCTTAATCACGCATGCCTTCAACATTCAAAGTTCATCAGAAGCGAAACATTTGCAACAAAAACAAAAGCTACAGTTCATTTTCTCGGAATAAACATTCCATTTTCTAACAACTGACTCCCCATTGTTCATTTTCCCGATTATAATTTGTTTATATTTTTTAACAAGTTCTGTTTCAACTAAATCAGCTCGCAATTTTTCGTCAATAATGCCCAATAATTAATTTAATGTTTCGCAGGTTTGCGCTTATGGAATTGAACACTAGATAATTTCTTTTTCGATTCCACGATAACTTCAAACAAAGAAAAAAATGAATAAGTAGATTAAGCAATAAACAGAGCTGTTATTTACTAATTTGCACAGTTAATAGGCGGTTAATTGTTTCTACTGATATCACATTGCAAAATAAATACGCCTTTTATGTCTCCGTATCTCTAGTTAAGTTAAATTGTTTATTATAATTTAGTAAGTATTTTAAATTTCATATAAATAATAAAAAATGTAACTAATACATTATAAATTTAATTCCGAAACTTGATTTGGCGTCCCCTAAGGCTTGCGCCCGCATTTTTTGCATGCATCGCATGCAAGGCAGGACCGGCTCTGCCTGCACCCCTAGTTAATTTGAGTCATTTCCCTTAGCTCGTATGGCTGCAGTTCTTGTTGCCGGAGCCCAAATGATCGATGAACAACATTTTGCTGCTCCTGAAATCAAACAGCGAATGGATCAACTAGAAGAGCAATGGAACCAGCTCAAGGAAAAGGCTTTGAAACGCAAACAGGACCTAGAAGATTCTTTACAAGCCCATCAATACTTTGCTGATGCAAACGAGGCCGAATCCTGGATGAGGGAGAAGGAACCAATCGTCTGCAATCAGGATTATGGTAAAGATGAGGATAGTTCTGAAGCACTTTTGAAGAAACACGAAGCTTTGGTCAGCGATTTGGAGGCTTTTGGAAATACTATTGAGGGGTTGAAGGAGCAGGCTGCCAATTGCAGAGTAAGTGTAGTAATAAATAAAAATTAATTGTATTAGCTGGTAGTTTTTGTTCAATAAGTTTCTATTAGGGTTTATACAAAAACCGACATTTCAGAAAAACGGTTTTCGAATTTTAATTTTACTAAAAAAAACGGTTTTAACCGGTTTTCGAATTTTATATAGAAAATAAATTTTTGCTCGAATATTCTGTAATTTATCCGCAAATTTAGTGTGATTCAGAGCAGTATTCGACTGAATTTATTTATTGTTCAATTTTATAGATAGTAAACAAAATTATTTTAATTTTAATTAGTAGAACTAAAAAATAATAGTTTATCTTAATTAAATAACTTTGAAAATAATTATTCGTTATTCATGCATTATTTTCACATATAAGAATGAAAATATTTTTATGATAGTGAAAGGAAAGTATTCAAATAAGTAAAAATAATACATTTTTAAATAAAAAAAATCATTAGATAAAAAAAATGAAGAAATATTAGGTACATGTTGATACATACTTGTTAATATCAATTTTAGTTTTAAAAACGATTAAGCTAACCTCTCGGGTATTGTCTGTTCCGAACAATTTTAATTAATTAATTTTAAACATTATAATTGTTTTTTTGTTTAAAAAAATATGATTCGATAAGTCTATCAAATTGCTACTTAGATGTGTCCTTTGTTTACTCACAAAATTTTCTGAAATAGAAAATACTCTCATACTTGCGACCAAATTATGCTTAATTGTTTTTAAATCCTGATATAATATTTTTTTTGTTCTTTAATTTGTGACTTCTAGGGTTTAAAACTTTTTTTTTAAGTTTGAGTAGAGGAAGTTACTTCTTCAAGAAGAATTCACACTGATTTAAATTAATATATACGCTGGTATAAAAATCTAAATTAATATATACAAAACCATTCTGGGAACCATTGCAGACTGATAAGATATCAAATGCTATTGAAACGATATGATTTTAAGAATCAAAACGCTGTCATCTATCTTTTATATTTGGCTATATTTGTCATTTTCCATTTATACAGTGAAAACCGACTTTTTTCACTAAAAAACTGGATTTTCGAATTCCATAATTTTTGCCAAAAAAACGTTTTTGAAAACCGACAAACTCTAGTTTTCATTATCTTTTAGCAACAGCAAACACCAGTTGTTGATGTTACTGGCAAGGAATGTGTTGTGGCTTTATACGACTACACTGAAAAGAGCCCTCGTGAGGTCTCAATGAAGAAAGGAGATGTCCTCACTTTGCTCAATTCTAACAATAAAGATTGGTGGAAAGTTGAAGTCAATGACAGACAAGGTTTTGTACCTGCTGCTTATGTTAAAAAGATCGAAGCAGGTTAGTAGAACAGTTTTCTCAAAATAAATATTTAATTGTAATAAAATTATTTCTATTATTTTATTTTTAGGTTTGAGTGCCAGTCAGCAAAATTTGGTCGACAGCAGTTCTATTGGAGCTCGGCAAACCCAAATTAACAACCAGTACGCTAATTTGTTGGGTCTTGCCAAAGATAGGCAACACAAATTGAATGAAACCGTAAAAGCATACGTACTTGTCAGAGAAGCTGCTGAATTAGCTACTTGGATCAAGGATAAGGTAATATATTTTTAACTTCCCGTAGGGTAAGTTATAGTAATCGCAAAAAAATCGAAAATGAAAATTTTTATATATCTTTACGTTTCAGAGGTTTCTGAATATTTTGACATACCTTAGAAAAAATGGATGTATGTGTGTGTGTGCGTGTGTGTGTGTATGTATGTATGTATGTATGTATGTACGTGTGTGTACGTATGTATGTATGTATGTACGTGTGTGTATGTATGTGCGGATACAAATTTTCGTCGACGATTTCGGGAACACGGATCAACCGATTTGAATAATTAAAAAAACATTCGATTCGTATTAATAAGGAGACGTGCTGATTAGTTTTTGGCGGAGGTAGGTCTAGCCGTTCCGAAGATACGGGGCAAAAAGTGCCGAAAACGGTAACTCAGTTTTTAAGAGAACGGAGCGTCCGATTTTAATAATTCAAAAAACATTTTACTTATATTGACAAGGTGAAAAACCGATCAAATTTTCATAAAGGCAGGTCTAGCGGTTTCGGAGATATAATGAAAAAAGTAAAAAAAAATGCCATTTGGCGATTAAAAATGATCATTAGACTTATGCACATCAAATTATCAGATATTTTATAGAGATTTTAACAATAAGTATAAATTTTGTTTACATTCCTATGGGTTCCGTACCAATGTTTACCCGTTAGACAGCGACGCGGCGCTTACGCGCTTTATATTTTGTCTCT